AAAATCATTATGTCTCCTATACCCTCAGGCTCATATTCATATTACCATCATTTTCTACCATTTCCTAAAAAGAGAAAATTCTCTATACCTTCAGGTTTGTTATAAAAACCTTTAGGATTCAAAAGGTACAAAAAGGAATTATATCCACTAGCCTAAAATATTGTAAATTTTGAACGCATTGGGCAATTTTGTGGCTAGTGGATATAATTCCTTTTTGTACCTTTTGAATCCTAAAGGTTTTTATAACAAACCTGAAGGTATAGAGAATTTTCTTTTTTAGGAAATGGTAGAAAATGATGGTAATATGAATATGAGCCTGAGGGTATAGGAGACATAATGATTTTGGAATTTAATTGATACTGCATATGGCTCAAAATGCCTCAAGTCACGAGTGTTCACATTTTTGCGTAACTTTACTCAAAATTTTTACAATTTCCTTAACTTTACATAAATTGTATCTTCTTATGCTTAACTTTACATAAATTGTATCTTCTAACGCTTAACTTTGCACTTTTACCCCCAAAATCTGCATCCTCCGTTAATTAACTTTGCATGAATTATATCTTGTATCTCTTAAATTTGCACAAATTTTATCTTCAAACTCTTAGTTTACAGTAATTTATCTTCAATCATTTAAAGATACAGTAATTTTATAATCTGTCCTTAACAATACAACAATTTTATATAATAACTAATAATTTACATTAGAATAGTGTGCGTTTGTGTAAATGAATAGTGTGTGCACGCAGATATAGTGAGTGTTTATGAATATATTCACACAGAAATGTATGTGATAACCAATGTTCATAGCAATCCTCACACATTTTTTATAAATAACAATATAATCTTTGCAAATAGTAATATGTTTACACTACATGTCAATCTAACGAGGGTCAATACATAGTGTACACCACAGTTAGCACACTTCGCACACAAACAACCTCAGCACCACTCATGATTTATTTATTAATTTTACTGAAAATATGTGTTAATTCTATTTACTCTAAATAATTTATCCCTTTTAATCTTTAACTTTGCGAAATTTTACCTCAAACACTCAATTTTAAGTAAATATGTGTTTGTGTGCGTAAATCACTAAAGTTTCGCCAGAACTGATGTTGCGTGTGTATTTTAGTATGTGTTTATCCATGAACAGATTACCGCATAAAGAGAAATTTCAATTTCCAAAACTCAAAGTTTACATCATGCTCGATTTAATGGGTTTGTGCTTTGAAAGTTGAATTTTTAAGATTTTTCAAGGTGTACATCTTCTTTAACCTTCCAGCATTCATCCTCGCACATGATCTGAATTGTAAGTATATTATAACCCTTAGCGTTATGTCAATCTTTCCTTTATAATCTTTTTTACATTAACTACAACTAGTATTTTTTGTTTGGGACATCATTATAGTGTTGTGCTTTCAAATTAGTATATTCATAGTATTAATAGATATTAATTACATATTTACCCAATGGATAATCCCTTCAGGAAGGTTTGCGAAAAATGCAGATATTTTTTAAATTTTCTAATAAATATTTGTTATTTCTCTTAACTTTATTTGAATACTATTTTCTGAGGTTTAACTTTACATCAGTTTTATCTTTTGATCCTTAATAACGAGAAAATACAGTTTATACTTTCATAAATTCAATTATCTTAAAATTTTACATTTTTCCTATCACAAAAGTCACTTATCAAAGTAAATCTTGTAAAACAGTCAAAATCTGTCAGTTATCTTACCTGTCATCATCAATCAATCATTTTTAATTATAATATTTACTTTGTCAAATGCCAGCCCATCAAAATATGCGCTAGAATTTAAATAGGAATTAATTTTATTATAGCCGTCGGATGTATTAATATATCTTCTTATCCTCTAATATATCACATTAAAATCAGGACTATCTATCCTGATATAATTCCCTATCAATCAGTTCTGAATTTTACCTCCAAAATATCAATAAATTACACCTTTTCAATTCCTAATTCAGAGTGTGTGCTGCTAATGTGTGTACCAATCAATTATCACATACCAATCAACTATCACTAGTTCAATAGCTGCTTTTATCAATTTTTCAATTCGCCCTTTTTGGTTTGTGTTCTGGACCTTGCATAGCATCAAGAACAACATTAGAATTTCATTGGAATGTCAGTGCTTTGACAGTTTGTTATGTTTCCTTTGACCATTCCGTTGACCACGCACACATCTTTTATAAAAAGCTGGAATTTTTGGTGGTGGAACTTGAAAATCTCCATCACATGTTATTCAAACTTAGTCATAGCTTCTTTCTACAAAGTTTAATAGGGAATTGGTAATGAGAGAAATGAAAAGTCATCCACACCCTTGGTTTCCCATTAATCACATCTCCAGTTCCTCTCACTTGAGCTGGGAATTCTTGATGAGTTCGAAAGTTCCCGCAATATTAACTTTCCCTTAATCATACTCAGTTCCAGTGCTTGTCCGGGGATAGATGGTTGGACAATTCAAACCACCCTTGTTTTCCACTTTCCACATCTAATCTCCCCATAATTGTGCGGAACTGAAAGTTTCCCAGAACCTTTGGTTTTCAGTTGATTAAACCCCATTTGACCGTATTTGTGTGGGTATTTACAGTGCGGAGGATGGAAAGTTTCCCCAAAACATTTTGGTTACCACTGAGTTATAATGTGGGGAACAACATTTGTTTCTCATCGATCAGTTTTCTCTTGTGCTTGAGCTCACAACTGATGTTTCCATTGAACATGCTCCATTTCACCCTACCTTTGCTTGTTTTTTAAGTAGTGTGAAGTGAAATGTTCCCCAAATCATGTAGTTTCCAGGCGCAGAACTGAAAATTCCACAAATTTTGGTTTCCCCTTGATCACATGCCATTTTAATGCACTTTGGCATGAAAATGACGGTGCAGAAAAGTTTATTTTTTGTATGTGGAGTAAAATGGTTGGATATAAAAATCTTTTAAAATTAGAGATAAAAATTAGAGAGAGAGAGTTAACCATCTTAGTTAAAAAAAACTCTTTAAAGTTAGAGAAAAGTTTTATTTCAACTAAAATCATTAATCGTCCATCAAACGTTAAATGTTCTGGGTGAAGTTTGAAATAAAAAATAAAATTTCCTTGACTAAATTCCCAGTCTTCAAAATTATTGGTAAAAAAATTCTTAAATACAAGTTACCACCAATTCGCATTTTCAATTAGTTTTACTGTATAGATACGGTCTTTAATTAAATTAGAATGTTATTCCAATCCTTTGGCTCCACTTGACTTTGCACGATTCATCCTGTATCATTGAATGTCGCTTTAAGTGTCACCGTCCTTAAAATATTCTATATCCATGCACCATTTCCACGCAATTTTAGTCGAAATTGATGATGATGAAACTTCAAAGTTACCAAAACCATTGTTTCCCCATTGATCACGACGACAAACCCCCGCACCCTTCCTTGACAAGAGGTTTACAGTCGGAAAACGTAAGACTCATGAAATAAAAAGTAAAGTTTAAATTATGTTCCAGTTTTTCTTATTTTATATTACAAAATTTCTATCAGCTCCAATCTTTTATACACAAAACTCATAAATAATCATTTGAATATTCTTTTAATTTCTTAATTTTGAGAATTTTTTTTATAAATTTTAAATTTCTAAAAATTCCCACAGCTAACAAATAGGTGAAAAATTTCTAATGTAAAAAGAGATATTTTAACTTTATATTGAGAGAATATATTGAGAGAGAAACTGTTACAACCGTAGATGTCAGAGATTTAAGTAGTGTTGACGTGCGATAGAAAAACTGTTTATCCGGTTTAGAAATAAACAATGTGTAGGCGAAAAGATGGAAGAGCTGGAACAGACGGCGGAGATCAGTGACTAGCCCCCGCTAGTATGATCCAACTAGACTGACGCTTTAACTGGCTTTTATACTATAGCGATACCACTACACAACAGAAACTAATCTATTAGTTATTTTTCTCTAACCACTTCTTCCATACAACCCTAAAGATCACCATATTTTTACGAGGTTGATTAAAACAATAAGAAAAGATAAGTGATCAGGTCAATTAACATAAGCTAAGTTTTGAATTACTTTTAGAAATCTTGCATTTTGAAAGTTGTCATTTTGTGGTTTGACATTTTGAAAGTTGGTATTTTGTTGTTTGACATTTAGAAAATTGGCATTTTGTCACATGACATTTTGAACTTTTACATTTGTATTTGGCATATTTCAAGTTGGCATTTTTTAAGTTAGTATCTTAGCGTTTGAAAATTTGTAAGCTGGCATCTTGTCGTTTGACGTTTTTAAAGTTTGCATTTTGTAGTTTGACGTTTTGAAAATTAGCATTTCGGAATAATTTGTTACACGCTTACATTAGAACTTCCTGCCATTTTTGGACAAAATTTGAAAAAATTTCAAAATGTCGATTTTCATAATGTCTAACTTTAATAATAGCATTCCCACTCTCACTCATTCCACTCACTGATTGGCATCTTATCAGCTTCTACTATTAAAAGGTAGAAGGTGATTAATCATTTAGAATATAACTAATTACCCTCAAACTTTTATTAATTACCCTAGAATCCCTTCAGAACATATAGGTTGACGACATAATCAAAGAGATACAAGGTATTAAAATGTGTTTGACATTTTTCAAGTTGAAATTTTGTCACTTGACATTTTTAAAGTTGACATTGGTGTTTCGAAATATTTAGGTAAATCCCCCCTACATTTGACTTCCGATCATTTTTGGACAAACTTTGAAAAAACTAACTGAGACTCTAGAGTCCAACATAACGCACTTAAACTTCTCTTTTTAGTACTTATCCCAGATGTTCTCTAGCAAGATAAATTTTAGCCGTTAAGCAAGACTCTAGACTCTTCGCTTTAACACACTATTTTACTCATAATCTTCTCTGTTTTATTCTGTCCGCATGTCTAACATGATCTAAGAAAAAAGTTGGAATTAGATGAGCTAGAGAGTGTACTTTCTTAAGAGAGTACACTGTCTTTCTTCGTCTGCCGCTGTATGGTTGTTGTAGTTTGTGTCAGACATCATCAGGGGCTTAAATACATTTTTATGTCTCTTTTATTTTACCGCACTTCCACCTTTTGGTTCTCTATAATTTTATCGCACTTCCAAACATTAATTTTAAAAATTCATTTTAACCTCCAAATGTCTTTTACCGTAATGCCTTTTACCGTATACTGTCTTTCTTCGTCTGCCGCTGGATGGTTGTTGTTGTCTGCCGCTGGATGGTTGTTGACACATCACGAACATCCCACCTGTCAATTCCCGCAAAATATAAACCATAATTTTTTAATTATGGAATGATTAATCACCCTAATTAATCATGATTAATTACCCCAAATCAAAAGGTAAACTGTCCTTTGGCCACACATCGCCCCTTTATTAGTCTTATAATAATTATCAGTTTTTAACAGTGGAAGATTAAACATCTAAATAGACATTTCGAAGTGTGGCATTTTGTCACTTGACATTTTGAAATTTTTAAATAATTGGTTAATTCCCCTCACATTCTGACTTGCGTCAACTTTGCAAATCATTTAAAATTTTTTGCATAATTTTGTAAACTTTATTTCTCCGCATTTATTTTTATTCAATATATTTTTTTATTTTTTTCATTTTTTAATTAATTATCAGACTCAAATATTCCATTCCTAGACTGAAATTCACAGCATACGAAATTTATAGAAGATTTTAAATTCAAAATTCCCTCCAATATGTATTTTGAAGTTGACGTTTTGAGATTTGCAAATGCAAATCAGGTGCTTTTAAAAATTTTTAAAGGTGCTTTTAATTTTAAAAGGTGCATTTTTAAAGGTGCTTTTGTCGCTTGACATTTTGAAAATTGGCATTTTGTCGTTTGACATTTTAAAAATTTGCATTTTGTCGTTTGACATTTTGAATGTTGTTATTTTGTCACATGACCTTTTTGAAGGTTGGTATTTTGTCATTTGACTTTTTAAAGGTTGGCATTTTGTCACTTTACATTTTGAAGAGTTGGCATTTTTAAATTCGACATTTTAAAATAATTGGTTAGTTCCCCTTACATTCTGACTTACGGCAATTTTGCAAATCATTTAAATTTTTTGTAAAATTTTGTAAACTTTATTTCTCCGCATTTATTTTTATTTAATATATTTTTTAATTTTCTTCATTTTTAATTAATTATCAGACTCAAATATTCCAGTCCCAGGTTGAAATTCACAACATACGAAATTTATAGAAGATTTTAAATTCAAAATTTCCTCAAATATGAATTTTGAAGTTGACGTTTTGAGATTTGCATTTTGTTGTTTGCCATTTTGAAAGTTGGCATTTTGTCGCTTGACATTTTGAAAGTTGGCATTTTGTTGCTTGACATTTTAAAAGTGATATTTCGAAATAATGAGTTAAACCCTTGCATTTGCACTTCCGGTCATTTTGGACAAACTTTGAAAAAATGAACTGAGACTCTAGAGTCCAACATTTCGCACTATATCGCTTTTAAACTTCTCTATTAGTACTTATCCCAGATGTTCTCTAACTACCGACCATTTTCATTACCCACCCAGATTTTCTTAAAGGTACTTTTTATTTGAAAGCTGTCATCGCCCTTTACCTTCAAAAGTAATTAATCATTTTAAATATGATTAATTGCCCTCCTTAATTACCGATGACCTTCTTCAGTAGGTGTAGTTCGGCGGCATAATTAAATAAAAAAAGGCATCAAAAGGAGTGAATTTCTGGAGGAGAGCGATTTGGGTTGTTCCAAAACAAAAATGATGGCTTAAAACCCCTTTAATCCCATAGGATTGTCGGCAAGTTCAAAAGAAAATACCCCCTAAAGGCTCAGGTTTGATGTGACAGTTCATCAAATGGGGTGAGCGATTTGGGTATGTGGAGCGATTGGGGCATAGTTAACTACTATATGACATGTCATATCAGAAATATGATCTAATTTGCATAGGCCCCAGAATGGGAAAAATATTTAATAAACTATATATTCCAACTGATATTCCCAAAAGCGTAAATTGTCTGAATGATCATCAAATGATCGAAAATAAAAAATAAAAAAATTATTTTGCGCAGGGAATAATTTATAAAAAAATTTGAAATTAAAAAAATACTTCTCGATTCTTTGATTATATCCCGTCAAAGCATAACTATAACGCCAAATAACCCTTACATTTTTTCCTTTTAAAATTAAATCATGCATTTTTTCAATTTTTAGCCTATATCTTATAAATATGGCCTGACAAAACATGCAAATACATACATATTTTGTGTGCGGATATGCCTAACGTGGGAAGTCCAAAAAAACTAAATTTCCAAAAATTTGGAAACGAAAAATCCGATAATCTTAGAGACGACGATTCTGGAAACGAGAGTAAACTAATATTGAAAATTTTAAAGTTTAAATCAAGTTAAAAAAATCGAAACAATTTGATTTGAATATGGATAAAGAGTGAAATTTTAAATAAAAAACAGAGCGTCTAAATAGTCCAAAATATCCGAAAATCAAAAAAAAATAATGAAAAATCTATAAAAAATTTTTTAAAAATCATTTTCGTTATCTTTCGTTCTTAATCTTGCATGCTTTACTTTTGCCCATTTTGACGACGATCTAAAATAATAAATAACATATTAAGTGCATGTCACATATTTAGCGCCTCATAAAAGCTTGAGAGTCAGGTAAACTGTATATTGAAAAATCACAATTAGAAATCCCAACCCTAAATACTGGTTCCTGCACTTTTATTTATTTTTATTTGTTACAGGTACATATATTTAAAAATAAAGCTTCTCTTTTAATTGGAGCGCCCAAGAGTGCTTTGCACTCTTAAGTAGAGTTGCACGAGATCGATATCTCGACCGAGACCGAGACGAGAATCTCGGTCATTTTCCAATCTCGGTCTCGGTTTTGCCGAGACGAGACCACCTAACCGAGACGAGATTCTCGGCACTTAATCTCGCCGAGATCCGAGATTAGTATACACCCCTAAAGATTGACCTTCTTGAGATTTATTTTTATTTTGACAAAATATTTAAAATTTCGCTATTGGTATATTGTTGTGCTCACTTTAATTTAGTTGTCTAGAGATCGGAGCAGGAAAATAAACACGGCCGAATACACATCAATCTTCGCGGAAAAAAGTTTTTGCCGCTGCGGGGTTTATCTCGGATCTCGATATCGGTCTCGGGTCAAATTTTGCATCTCGGTCTCGGTCATGCGGGTCTCGGTCAATCTCGGTCTCGGATTTTTTCTAAAATCTCGATCTCGTGCAACTCTACTCTTAAGGCCTAACACCTACTAGCTCCAATTAAAATGGATCTCGGATATTCTTTTTACTATATGATAATATATCTGTTACTTGGTAGAGTATATCCTGGAACATCTCGAACAGTAGAAATTAAATTGCCATAACGTCCAGTTTGTTCACCTTTATAGAAATAGTAGACTAAAATAATTTAATAAATTTACCATCGTGCTGAGTTTGAGTAAGAATGTAAGATGTAGCTTAAAAATACACAATAATTTAGTTATTCAATTGACTTGAGAATATATTATGTTTTAAAAATTTTCCAAATCAATCTATATCTATGCTAATCTCCAGACCCCAAATAACTCAATTAATCAGTTAATTTTCATTAATACTTAATTATTAGGCCTAATTAGTTAAAAGCCAACGTTGTTGTTGTGTCTGGGCATTAATTCCGTAACGTTGAGCAAAACCAGGAGGAGCAGCAAGATGAAGATTTTGCTGAGGATTTGAAGGCCCTTAATGAATATTTTCATTAATTATTACAATTTTAAATGAAATTGGAATTTTATAGTCTCCTCCCCAGCAAAATATTTACCGTATATCCTATATATGAGCTCACCCTCTGAGAGCCCCACCCTCTAATACAGACCACTTTGGAGGATATTTGAAAAATAGAGCCCCATGGGGCTCTAAAATAGAAAATAAGGTAATTAATTTTGGCATTGTTTTCAATGCAGTCCCTGGGATGGAGTAAGCATATAAGCCATTTAATTCTTAAGGCTGTGCAGAAGACGGCGTGGTTAATGGATAACACATCAGTCCTGTCTACTAAAGATGCTGGTTCGTACCCAGCCGCCGATTAAACTTTTGCACTAGCTAAAGGAGAGAAATAGCTATAGCTCAGCTGCTTTAACAACAATCTTTCGGTTTTTTCATCAGATTCTGTTTTTAATAATTAGAATTTCCTTTACCTTGTTGAGGAGGCTCAATAGGATTTGATTCCAAAATTTGGATCCCTGAATAATATTAATGGTTTAAATAAATCAAAATAGACAAATTGTAAACTGACCATGGCCACGAGAGATAAGGCCTCTGTTGGCTCTGCCTGCCCGGCGTGTGTTTTGTTCAAGTCCAATATTTTGACTTACTTTAATATTATAAAATTAATTTTTATTAAAATCCATGTTAAGATAAGAATTGCTAATAAAGAGTAAGAAGTGAAAACAAGATAGATTTGTGTTAACAACTATCTCGGTATTACAGCCCTAATTTTTAATACCGGTTCTGTTGACAAGCATATTTTTGATTTACTAAGTTTTGTGGCCAACCTTGTTATGGTATCATCCACCAAAGTGGCTTTTTAAAAAAGTGCTAGAGGTGCTATTCTTATAGTGGAATACGGTATTCATTTAAATATATTAAAAAACTACCTGTAGGGTAATGTGGCACTGCACGTATAGGCTGAGCAGCAATAGGTACATCTAAGTTTATTTATAAAACAAAAGATACTTTTGTGTTATCCGCCCCCCTTTTCCTTCTCAAGCCTTAAATTCTAATTTCTATTTGGATTACAATATGGTCAAAAGCAATTGATGGGCAAGGATTAAAAATCATTTATTAAATGATTTTTATATACTGAGTTGACAATATACTAGAGTTGACCGTCATCAAGGTCCCAAAACAAAATTTTTATCGGTCCCGATACCGGCCTCGGTATATGGATTGGCAAAAGCTATATAGGGATTTCCAATTTGTTGCTAATACCGAAATCCCGATAACGATCGGTATATCAAAAGATAGTTACGTGACATTATCGATGGATTTGGAGGTATTTTCAGATTTTTTTTTGGATTCGAAGGTTATTGGGGAGTTGGTGTTAGGAGGGATTTTGGTATTAAAAAGGGCGTGTGGGGGAATAATTAAATAAATTATTATTTCTATAAATAATAATTTAAGCGCGAATTCCCCAGATAATTTTAAATAATTTCAAAAAACTGCAAAATCTCATGCATAGAATTAAAATTACCGGGTTGAGTAAATGATATCATATTGTGTTCTTCACCA